AATGTATGGGCAATGAAGGCAATCTTAAGATCTTTCGAATTGGTGTCGGGACTAAAGATCAATTTCAATAAGAGCCATTTAATTGGCATTTGTGTGGAGGAAGAATGGATAGAAAAAATGTCATGGGTGCTGTGCTGCAAAAAGGGTTCATTCCCCTTTAAATACTTAGGCATCCCGATTGGGGGACACTACGGGAAGATTGCCTTCTGGAAACCGTTGATAGATGTTTTTAGCAATAAATTATCCAAATGGAAGGGTCGGTTTCTATCTCTCAGAGGTCGCATTACTCTTATTAACTCAGTGCTCGATAGTCTCCCGGTCTTCTGGATGTCGGTATACTTGATACCCAAAGGTACGATTCTGCTTCTTGATCAAATTCGTAGACGGTTTTTATGGGGTGGGACTGAAGGGGGTAAAAAGATCAATTGGGTTAAATGGGAAGTGGTGTGTAAGGATAAGAAGAAAGGTGGTTTGGGAGTAAAAGACCTTAGGAAGTTCAATATGGCTCTCTTAGGAAAATGGTGGGGGAGATTAGTGTCGGAGGAAAAAGGGCTATGGAAAAAAATCATTTTTGAAAAATATGGGAAGGCGGGGGAACCTAGCTATTACTGGCTAAGAGAGGAGAGCAACAGTGGGACAAAATGGTGGAGGGACATCTGTAGAATAAATACAATAGCAGGGGAAAATTGGGGATGGATAGCTGATGGTTTTAAATTAAAAGTAGATGAAGGGGTTAGTACTAATTTCTGGTGGGATAACTGGAAAGGGGAAGGGTGCCTTGCTAACAAATATCCAAGACTTTACTCTCTATCTATAGGGAAGGATAACAAAATTCCTCAAATGGGAGAATGGCTTAACAGTAAATGGGAATGGAACCTTCAATGGAGAAGAAACCTCTTCAGCTGGGAAACTCAACAAGTAGGAGATCTACAAAAGGACATACAAGACATAAGACTCATAAGAGGCAAACCAGACCTTTGGGAATGGGCTCACAGCAAAGATGGAACCTACTCCACAAATTCAGCATATCAAATACTCCCAAGGGAGACTAGATCGGAGCAGCATGGAATGGAACTCCAAAATGTATGGAACAAGCTGATCCCCAACAAAATCTCGACTTTCTCATGGCAATTACTACAGGACAAAATCCCCACAAAGCTTAATCTGCATAAAAGAGGTATTATTCAAGCTCTTGAAGATTGCAAATGTGCTTTATGTGGTAAGGAAGCAGAGAATACTAGCCACCTCTTTATTCACTGTAATTTTGCTTGGCATCTTTGGAATGATTGTTTTAAATGGTGGGGTCTTATACATGTGCTTGATAAAGACTGCTGGAAGGTGTTTCAACAGCACCCAAATCCATTAAGAAGAGCGAAATGGAAGGAGGGATGGGAATGCATTTGGTTTGGTATTGTTTGGACAATATGGCTTGCTAGAAATGAGAAGATCTTTCGAGAGAAGGAACCAGACAAAATGAGGCTCCTGGAGCTGGTACAAATTAGGACATTTAGATGGCTAAAAAGTAGAAAATGAGGCTGTGTCTTCTCCCTATCAGATTGGCTCCATAATCCAACTGATTGTCTGACCAACATTTGCAACAAAAAAGGATAGGTAACGGAATAGCAAGCAACAAGTAAAGTCCCACATACAGCCAAAGGCACTTCCATCCCTCCATGATTGATTGTATTTTGTCTTTCAATTTGTAACTTTCTCAATTTGGTGTTGGTCTGGTGTACTCCTGGTACCCGCGACACATAATAAAGTTCTCTTTGGATTTCAAAAAAAACCAATTCAAAGTCTGCTTCTTGAATTATATATATATTTTTTTTTTCCTGCCAGTTCAGATATAGTTCGTTGTTAATTTCATCACTCAATCTTCAGAACCTCAAGAGAGAACGACAAACATGTACGGTTTTTTTATGTTTTAATGTTTTAAAAATATATAAAATAATAATTAAAATAAATAATAAATATTTTTTTATGTTTTAATTTAATATAAATTTTTTTTCTGCCAGTTCAGATATAGTTCGTTGTTAATTTCATCACTCAATCTTCAGAACCTCAAGAGAGAACGACAAACATGTACGGTTTTTTTATGTTTTA